CTCTCCCTCTCCCTCTCCCTCTCCCACTTTTTTATCCAACCCCAGAGATTTCCTGCTTTGCTTTCTCCCGCCCCCTTACCCTGTCACCAGTGGATTTTATGCAACTCTCCTTATGTCTCCTCCTTTGATTCTAATGTATGAAATAAGCTACAAAACTGCCATTCTCTGGAGCATTTTCTTGATTCACTGAGATTTTGCTTCCCGGCAGCTGTCGTCAATTTGGCTCAAATAAACTCTTTAAAAATTCTCTACAGGTTTGGACGTTTCTTACGTTGACATACAATTTTTGTGTCAACAGGAATATTTATTATTTAAAAGATGATACAAAATGTAAAGAATAGATCATGTGTGATATCAGGGGCTCTGAAATCCCTCTTTGGCTGATTGGATCAGATACAGATCTTGCTACGTCCCATCCCATCCGTATCCCCCCAAACAAGCGCGTGCGCACACACACACACACACAGCAATTCCTCTCAGTCTTTAGTGTTTTATATTAGGTGTCCTTGTACACATTACTTTTTAAGAATGGATACCCATTCTATTTTAAAGTTTGAAATCTGGACTTTTCTATAGAAGACACTTCACTCTGGCCTCCGTGACTTGGGAAGATACACTTAGGGGTCTCGTGAGCAGAGGACCCTTGTCGTTTTCAGAGGGGCTGCTCCAAGACAGGACCCCTCACCTTTGGACATTGGGAACAGTGTCCACACAGAATGTAAAGCTTTTCCAGTCTCTGGGGAACCGGGATTGGAATTTTGCCTCAAGTCGATAATTAACATGACAAGAAAGATTCTCTGAATATATTTTCACCTCCATCTTTATTTTAAAAGTGAAGCTGTGAGGTGAAAAGCAGGATAGGAACTAGGTGGGGCAGGTATTGAGGGCAGGTTCCAGGAGGGGTTGTTGAATGGCAGTAGGTATTTTCTAATTCAAAACCAGGTCCTGGAGAGGTTGAGGAGTTGGTGGGAGGCTGCACTTTCGAGAGCTGGAGAGTTAATTAGCAGACAGGAGCCTGTAGCTGAGGAAGGGTGAGCAGCGACCGCTTGGGAGAGGAGCGACAGCTCTCTTTCCTCAGGATAATGGGTTCTCCATCCACATCTGCCCCCGGGTCCTTCCTGGGTGTCAGGAGCTGTGCTTGGCTGGGCCCTGGGGGAGACAGGAAGAATTTGGGGTTATAGCACCTTCATCTCGGTGGTAAGCCAAGTGGAGACGCCCACAGGATAGTTGCAGAGGAGAGCTGGCAAAAGCAGTCGGGGGGCAGAGGATGGGGAGTTCTGGAAGTCGTGAGGGTGATTCCTCCTCGCGGTCTCTGTTTGGAGCTAAATGACACTCATTTAGTCTCCCACAGTTCCGGAAGTTAGAAGTCAATTCCCACTCACTGGGTTAAAGTCAAGGTGATGCCTGGGCCAGTTCCTTCCAGAGGATCTAGGGGAGAATTTGTTGTCTTACCTTGACTGGCTTCCGGAGGCCCCTGCATTCTTTAGCTTGTGGCCTCTTCCTCACGTCACTCCAACCTCTTGTTCCGTCTCCTGCTTCCTACTTCGGCACCCTTTTTAAGAACCCTAGTGATCACATGTAGGGCCCGCCTGGGTAATCCAGGATAATCTCCCCATCTCTGGATCCCTCATTTAATCAAATCGGCAAGTTCCCTTTGCTGTAGCCGTAACAGTCACATGTTCGAGAGATCAATATGTGGCTGTCCTTGGGCTGCGGGAGTGGAGCATCATTCAACTTTTCATGGGACAGAAGGGATTTAGCTCAGTCGTGAGGACCAGTTTCTGGATGAAGGATGCAAATTCATGATCTCCGCTTGAGGTCTTTGAGGATGTGCCACAGCACCCTGTCATGGGGCCTGAACTGGCCTGGCTGCCAGAATAGAGATTCTCAGACCTTCCTCCCAGCAGATGGAACGTTCCTGGGCATGCACCAGCTTTTGGTGAAACTGAGCACTGTGGGGGCCGGGCCACTGTCTCCAGAGTCGTCATGTCTGGTGCTGGAAGCAGGGCCGTGAGCTGCTGGAACTGCTTAAAAAGGAAGCAGACTTCTCCTCCTTCGAGTTGGCCCCGCTGTTGGTTCTGCAGCTTCGGATCAGTTGTGTTTCCCCAGGCTGTGGAACATCTGCCCTGATGGGGGGCCTGGCAGAAGGTGTGTGGGAGTCCCCAGCTCTTCTTCAGTCGGGTCTGCGGATGGCGAAGGGCCAGGCACTACTGGCATTTCCAACCGGGAAATGTCCTCCTACAGAGTGGTATTTTCCCAAAGCGACCTTTTGTGGGGGGGTGTGGGGGGGTGGGGTCACGTCTGGTTTAGATAGCCCATCTGCTCACCCGTGCCCTGCAATGCTTTCAGTGACTAGGCGGTTTAACGTGGGACCTCGCTCTTGCTGTGTGGAATGGGGCAAATGTTTTGGTCTGATTAGCTCGCTTAGGTTTAAGGGGACCTAATAATGCAGCCCAGTTTTGATCTCTTCTGTGCCACCCCCCGCCGTCAGCCCAGCTGCCCTCTGCACTTCCTCAGCCCTGCGGGCCTGGCTCCAGCCCGTCCTGCGTCCTCTCCACCACCAGGGGTTTGAGTCCGTGAGCCAGAGCTCCCGTGACGGGAGGAACAGAGGGACAGCCCTCCTCTGCCCGTGCCCTGGACAGCTGTCCTAGTGCTTTCCTATTTTTCCTTTCTCACAACAGCTTCTGGAGGTGGCCAGCACAGGCCCATTGTTATTGTTGTTTTTTTTTCCCAAAAAAAATAATGATTGGCTAAATACCTTGCATGAGGAAGAAGATGTCAGGGACCGGATGCCGTCTGGAATTCCTTCCGCTGCTCCCATCTGAGGCGGGGCGCTTCCAGCTGCGCTTGGCTGACCGGCACGTCAGTGGGCCCCTTGGTGCTGTCCCTCCCACAGTCAGGACAGAGAACCAGAGGGCTTGAGGGCCCAGTGCCTGCGCTGCGGGAATGTGTGACGCGTGTCATGGTCAGTACCCCCAAGTTTGGAGACTGCGTCATAGGTAGTTGGGTCTGTATCTGTCCCCCCAGCAGTTTGGAGTGTTTCCCAAGGACAGAAACATTTCCTTATTTAACTCTTTTTAATCTCTCAGTGCCTAGTCAGCGCCTGGCACATAGGTGTGAGAAGCAATCCTGATCCCTGTCACCCCCAGTTCCCCTCCGCCCCCCGCACACGCACACACATACACACAAAGTATGCAGCTTTTGTGCTGATGTAGGACTGTCATGACTTTTGGGGGTCCATGAAGCCTCACCTCTGTGCTAGGAGGCCACACTTTCTGTAAGAAAATTGTCATTACAACTCCTGGTCATGCAGAGACGTCCTGTTTCTTCTCTTTGTGTCTTATTATCATAGGCCTTGTCTCTGCCAAATTCAGGTGTGCTTGAGGACTTTCTCCCAGGTCCTGGGGAGTGCGGACTTCTGCTTGGGGGAGGAGAGGTAGCTGGGCACAGCCCCATGGAATACTTGTGGCAAGGAGCCTGCGGGCAGTCACATCTAGCAGCCCTTATAAGTTACTTTCCTGAGTTTGATTCTTGAATGCCGTCCTCAGACTGAAGGCTTGCAGTACTGTGGAGCACGAAGGCCAGAGTCTGTCCCCAGACTGAGCCCGAGTACTCTGAGGCCAGGGCAGCACTGACCAGTTGGAGTCCCAAAGTGAAAGGACAGGCATTGGGCCAGGAACTTCAGCTGCTGCATCCCACAGGGAGATTCTCCCTCCTCTACTCAGGGCAGAGGATCAGGGTGTTGTTTTATTAAAGGAACTAGCAAGCTTCCTTACATTTGGTGCCAGAAAAATCCTAAATAGATTGCTACTCTTTTTTTTTTTTCTTGCAAATATGGCTCTTTTGAGTTAATGGGTTAAATCAGCCCTTATGAGCTAGCATGAGCACCTTATCACTCTTTATCACATGGTATTTCTGGGAAATAGTATCCCAGATGCCAAACAAGTGATTGGCAAGTGAGGCTTGTGAATACAGCTTGCTCACCAGCTGGACGGGGCCTTGTACCTCCTGGCCTGAAGCACTGAAGCGTGTGTTTCTGTGTAAGGGGTATCTTCAAGGCTGCCCCTCCAGCTCAGCGCTGGTTCAGAGCCCATGGGCCTGGCAGACCTATGCCAGCTTGTGGGTATTTGACAAGCCAGGGCAGTGTTTCCATCATGGACAGTAAGGGGTGAGTTCACAAAGCATCCTTGACTTCCCCGTGCTACCTTATCTCATGTAACATTACAACAATCCCGTCCAAGCAGGGCGGGCTTCCAAGGGGCTGTAAGCAGGCAAGGGGCCTAACCACACCTGCATTTTGAAGAGATCACTCTGAAAGAGGGGGTGAGGAGAGATCTGTCATCAGTCAGACTGTTACAAAGGTCTCCGGAAGAGAGGGGTGGTGGCGTGGGCCAGGATGATGGCTGAGCAGATGGAGGGAAGAGCCTGGGCCTGGTAGCTGATTGACTGTGGGGGATACAGGAAGAAAGGCTGAAGGTGGTGTCCGCATTTCCAGTGTTCTTGAAGCAACATGGAAGTAGTCAAATGGAGGAAGGATTCCGGAGGTCGTCTTTTGGGAAACCCTGCAAATGCTCTGAAGACTTCTGGAGGACTGGCACCCCAACTGGTAGTTCAAGAGTGTTCTTAAAATATCGGATCTTGGCAGAGTGGAACTCTGTGTAGGAAGAATCACACGGTACTTCTTATTCCGTGTTCAGTCCCCAAAGTGTGGTATTTATTTTGAAATATGTGGTTTATGCATTTTTATCTAGAGAGGTTTCTTTGTTAATATTTTTCCAATTATAAGGGTATTTTATACCCTAGAAAATTCCTGGTTAAGGAACAAATAACCAAACACATTTTTTTTAAATAAAGTCATGCTCTTATGGGAATTCTAATTGTACAGTTAAAAACTACAGGCTGTCGACAGTGACATTTTAATGTGCACATATCCATCTAAATTATTAAACTGTTAGCTAGTTGACACAAACAAGTTTTTCTTGCTTTCCTCTTGTATTTTAATGAAACAACACACTCACGGACCAATACAAAAATCGAAAAAGTGTTAAATCACTCATTTAGGCTCTCAGAAAACTACGGTAGTGTGAAGGAAGCAACACAAACGTGATGTAATGAAATTTTCAAAATTAATCTGAAAACAGCTGTCCATATGCATTAGAGCCGACGCCTGTTTTAATCAGAATGAGGTAAGCATTCACTTGTAGTTTACCCTTCTTGTTAAAACAAAACAGGGAAGTTTCTATATTCGAAAACTGGGAATAAGAACAACAGGCCTTTTGCCATGTAGCATTCATACGAGTCCAAGGCGAGGTTTTTCCTCGTCCGAAAATTCTTGAGCTAAGAATCCAGAGTTCATTATGATTCATACTCATGCTGTTTCCATGATTTGTGCCCTAAAGAGAGAAAGAGTACTGTGTGTCCTGTTTATATGATGAAAATAAATTTCCCTCGGCCTGCCGTGTGTTCTTTTGTCCCTTGTGGTTGCTGTCCCACAACTGGAAGTCTTGTTTATCCATGCGATAAAGGAATTCGAAAGGGTTATGAAGTCCACAGTTGATGTTCGAGAGACTGAAAAACAGTGTTGAGAGACCCAGCGCCGGCAGCACTGACTTTTCCTCGGAGACTCCCTTCTCTGGTCGGTGCCCATCTTTCCAGCAAGGGATCCAGAGAGGGCACCCTGACGAATGATCCTGGGGGGCGACATGTAAAGCATCCTGTGGCTCATGTTGCTCTTCCTGCCTCCACAACTGCAAAATGACGACAAAAGTAAATATTTGGGGCCAGGTTTATTTTGGTGAGACAAGTTCCAGTCTGGTTTCTAAAATTAGGAATTCTGCGGGCTGCTCGTGGTTTGAGGCATCCTGCCAGAGAACTTTGTCTCCGGGATGTACAGTTCTCTTATTTGTTGTTGCTTGCTTGGAAATCATCTGTGTTTGTCCATCTGTGTAGACCCACTGCCGAGGTGGGAAGGCTCTACCCAGCTGATTTTGAGAGGTTCCAGCCCCTGCCCTCACCAGCGTGACCCATGCATAGATGAGGGTCTAAGACAGAGCCTGCTGTCTGTTCTTCATACGTTGCTGGACAGACCTTCCAGGAACACAGCTCTCATCCTGTCCCTGACCCTCCTCAAATCATTCAGTGACATCCCCACACGTGCACACTGCCTTCAGGTGAAGGTCCCTCCCTGCTGTGGCCTCACCGGTGGGACATCCTCTGCCACCAGGCAAATTGGCCTCCTTGTTGCCCCTCAAACACTGGCTGCTTGCTTGCCTTTGTAACTTCTCATTGCTCCTGTTAAGTGTCCCTCCATACCGCCTCTGTCCATCCTTCCGGGCTCAGCTGCAGCCCCGCTCCCCTGGGAGATGGCCCTGCCCAAGGGAAGCCATTGGCCAACCACTGTGGAGGGTTGCCTGTATCATGCATCGCTGTCTCTGTCCCCCAGTGCAGACGCTGTGCGTGCTCAGGAAACGTTGCAGTTCAGCCTTCCTTTAGTGTGAGGTTCCCCACTCCTGGAAGCTGCCCTTGTCCTGTAAAAAGCTGCCTTTCCAGCACTGGTGCCTGGGCTTGTCTTTCTCCTCCCCACCCAGAGTCCTTCAGCTCTTTGCAGAATGTGTAGCAAGGGCTGCCTATATCCTACATGGGGGGCTGTGCTGGTGGGGGCGGGGCCTATATTCCCAGGGCCTGCCTTCTTCTGCCCTCTTGGTTAGAATAGGAATAAGTAGGGCTGGTAACCCGGGCCCGACAGCGGGCCTCCCCTCCCCCATCCTTGGTTTAATGTTCTGCTGTTTCTGTCTTGAAATTCTTTTTGAACAAAGGTCCCTGCGTTTTCATTTTGCATTGGGTCCTGCACAGTATGTATCTCTTCGGTCCTGGAAACAGGGCAGGTGCTGACAGACAGGTAAGGGTAGCTCCGGAGACATTACAGAAGGAATGCTGGGTGAGATGTGTGGAGGCCAGTGGAGAAGCGGAAAAGATACCTCAGTCGTGCACTTCCTTCCTGAGAGGGTTGATAGTTCTACTAAGCCTGGAATGTACCTCATGAGGTAGCTTCACGGGACGTGAGTCAGGCCCTAAGTAGCCTCATTTAATTTCTGTCAGAAGCCTGCCGTTTTTATGGCACTGTTCCAACAACTTTCCCATCTCAATCAGAGGAAAAGCTAAGTCCTTCCAATGGCCCGCAAGCCCTATCTGACCTTGCTCTTCACCACTGACCTCCTCTCCTACCATCCCCTCAGCCACACTGGTCTACGTTCTGTTCTTGAGCATGCTCAGAAAGTCCCCCACCTGAGGGCATTTGCACCTACTGTGCTCTAAGCCCAGAGCGCTCCTCCCCCAGAAGGCTCACCCTCACCTCTGTCAGGCCTTTGCCCAGATGTCACTTTATTAGTGGTCTTCCCCAAATACCCTATTTAAACACATACACATCACTGTTTGGCCTCTTTCCCAATTTACTTCGATTCACAATACTTATCACTGGCATACTCTCTATTTTACGTGTTTATCAATTGTCTGTCTCTTCCCACTGGAATGTAAGCTCGAGGGCAGGGTCTTTTGTAAGTTTTGTTCACTGCTCTATTCTTCAGCACCTAGAACACGACCTGACACATAGCAGGCACTAAATGAACATATGCTGGATGAATTCACTGCCCTTTGGGAGTTGACAGTCCTGCTACTTGAAACCAGAAGGATGACCAGTGGTGGCTGGGGAGAGGTCTGTGAGGCCATGGGAAAGTCACAGAGGAGACGGTTGGCTGGCCGACAAAAGGAAATTAAAAGGTATCACACAAGTAAATGGGGATAAAATTAAAAGAGCCAAAATGAGCAGAGCAGCAGGAGATAGGAAGAGACCTTCATTAAAGCCACACTGAGGATCTGAGAGGAACAGCTACAGTGGATAAGATCATAGGTTTTCAGCTCACACAATAAACATTATTATTGGGGTGGCTCCGTAGTGCAGTGGTTAGCACATCTGCTTTACACACAGAAGGTCCTGGGTTCGCGCCCCAGGTGGAGCCACAGACCATACCCTGGGGGCGCCAGGTGCACGCCCCAATCGTGTGGGAGGAGACACCCCAACTTCAGAGATCCAGTTCTTAAGGGGAGATGGCAATATCCATAGGTCAGGGGTGGAAGTGGGCAGGGGAGGGAATTAAAGGGGGAGGGAAAAAAAAAGGAAACTCTTACTTTTTTCATTCCTGCCCCCACCATAGACCCCATATCAGTGCTAGCAAAGAAATTATTAAAGAATTTTTGTTCTGCTTTATTAATAGAGACATACGTATTCGACATTGTAAATAAGAAACAGCCACTGATTGTCACCAGCCACATAGGTGTGCACCCTCCCAGCAGCAGCAGAGTGTGGTGTTCTCATGTGAGTTCATGCAGCTGTATTGCAGCTACCTCCCTGGACTCTCAGAGACCCCTACTTGGAACTTATAGCCCAGGCACTCATTTAGAAACCGCTCACTTCAGCGACCTCTGAGATCCCTCCGGCTCTGAAAATCAGATAATCCTGCAAGATATCTCAGTGTTGTCCCAGGGTAGGTGAAGGCCTAGATGGATCTATGGGACTGACTGATAAATGTCAGTTCCCATCGTGACAGCTGTGCTGGCCTGACAGGTAGGTGTAGGAGGGCCCTCTGATCAGGGGAACCCTCGTGGCAGAATAACAGGGAGTCCAGACATCCTGATCTTGCTTCATAGAGAAGAAAGACTCTGGGGCTAAGTAATGTACATACGGTCATAGTTGATCGGTGGCAAAGCTGACATAGGACTTGAAGACTTACTGACTGACAGGCGTGAGCCTTTTTATTTTGTTTTTGGCCTAGGGAAATGTCAGTGCTTGGAGGAGGATTATTGAGGACTCCCGAGACATTCGAGGTGATTATTCCCTTTTTCAGTTTTGAACCAGTATGTGGTATGACTGGATAGAAGGCAGAATGTAGATGTGGTTACTTTTTCATTGCAGAACCAATGTAGAAATAGAACTGGCTTGCTACTTTAACTAGTAATTCTAATTAAATACATTGGGAGAAGTTTGACTCAATAATAGTTTTTAGTGGAATTTTGAGTTTTTTCAACCAGTATAAGGAGCAAATGCATTCTTTATCTAAGGACTACCTACAGTGCTGTTAGGTGACAGTGGTGGTGAGCCAGGAGTGAAGAGCCCCATAACTATACTTGGGTCACTCGCAGGCCAGAGGGAATAGGAAGGATATCCCATGGTGCATTAGTCATAAAGATGTTGGGCAGAAAAGTATAGGCTTTGCAGTCGAACAACCTGAGTGCAAATTCCAGTTCTACAGCTTAATAGCTGTGCATTTTGGGGCAACGTGTAGCTGCTTCACTTCTTGGCTGCTGAAATGGGGGTGATGATACCTGTGTGAGGTGAGGATTGTATAATGTCAAGCATGTGAACTACCAGCACGGTACAGGAAGCACTCTATCGGCAGTTGGCTGTTGAAATGGGGGTGATGATACCTGTGTGAGGTGAGGATTGTATAATGTCAAGCACGTGAACTACCAGCACGGTACAGGAAGCGCTCTATCGGCGGTAGAAGGGCTTCCTCCAAAGCCATTTTTTTTTCAATGCAGAAAAATAAAAGCATACAGCATGAAATCTACCCTCTTAATGAACTTTTAAGTGTTGTTAACTATATAAACATGGTTGTACATTGGATCTCTGGAACTTTTTTGTCTTGAACGACTATAACTCTATACCCCTTGACCAGCAGCTCTATATTTCTCCCTCCCCGCCCCTGGCCCCTGGCAACCATCGTTCTGCTTTCTGCTTACATGAGTTTAACTACTTAAATGGTATTCTGGCTTATTTCATTAGCACAATGTTCTCAGGGTTCATCCATATGTAGTATATGATAATATTTTTTTTTATTTTTTAAGGCTGAATAATATTCCATTGTATGTATATACTACATTTTCTTTATCCATTCATCCCTGATGGACATTTTAGTTGCTTTCAACTCTTGATTGTTATGAATAATGCTTCAGTGAAAATAGGAGTGCAAATACCTCTTTGAGATCCTGTTTTGAGATCCCATTTTCAATTCAATTCGATAAATACCCAGAAGTGGGATTGCTATATTATATGGTTGTGATATTGTTAATTTTTTGAGGAACTTCCATATTGTTTTCCACAGTGGCTACACCATTCGACATTACCACCAACACTGCACAAATGTTCCAAAATCTCCACATCCTCACCAACACTTATTATTTTCTGTTTTGTTTTGTTTTGTTTTGTTTTAGTAATAGTCATCCTTAAAGGTATGAGGTGATATCTCATTAGGGATTTGATTTGTACTTCTCTGATGAGTAGTGATGTTGAGCATCTTTTTATATACCTTTGTTGTACGTCTTTAAGAGAAAAATGTCTATTCGAGTCCTTTGCCCATTTTTTAAATCAGATTATTTGGGATTGTTTTTTGTATCATTTTGTTGCTATTGAGTTGTAGGAGTTCCTTATGTATTTTGGGTATTAACCCCTTTTGGTTTGCAAATAGTTTTTCCTATTCTGTACACTGCCATTTTACTTTGTTTCCTTGGCTGTGCAGAAGCTTTTTAGTTTGATGTTGCCCCACTCGTTTATTTTTGCTCTTGTTGCCTGTAATTTTGGTATCATATCCAAGAAATCATTGCCAAGACCAATGTTATGAAGCTTTTTCTCTATGTTTTCTTTTAGGACTTTTATA